TTGTATCCGGTGCGCCCAACGCTCAACAATTCGGCCACTTTTTTAATTCACGAGTATAAAAGTGAAAATAGTAGCTTTGAGATTTATATGATACTCATCGAAAACAATGCCACCTTTTACATAACTAAAATTTGACTTTTTCCCCATCCGTATCTCATAATTTAGCATTATGAAATTAGCATTATTCAATGCTTTAAAGCAATCAAAGGGACTAAAAAACGAAATTCAATTTAAAAATTCTTAAATACTCGGACATATAAATATTATTATATAAACATTATATATATATATATATATATATATATATAATGTGCATATGTACTTGGAAAGCTTAATTTGCATTTTGTTGTAGCAAGTTTAATGCACTTTGTTTCCGACGTATGTTTATTATTACCGAAAATTGACGTAAATACTTCAAGATCCATTTAAATATCATAACATCGTGAACAATTATCGATAATTATTCAAGACTTCGGTGATTAGGCAACAACAACAAAAAAAAAAAAAAAAAAAAATACACCATCAAAAATAATGCCATGCTGTGGCGCAGAATTATCGTTTCCATTTGCCGATCACAACCAAACTAAGCCAAACCTAAAATTGTATCCTTTGAAATGCTATGACAAGCGCCTGGAGATAAACAGTCTATCCTTTGAAAATAAGTTTTATTTTCAAAGGTAATTACGTTTGTCGCGTGAAAAGAAACGCTTAAACGGTAAGTTAATAGTACTCTGTCGGAAATCACCCAAAATAAATGCATCAAAGCGAGCGATTGTCCTTGGCGCGTAGCTTCCGGCAACAATTTCTACGGACTCCCCTTCGCTTGAAAAAAAATAACAGAAAAAAACAAAAAACAAGTAGAATAAGAGAACTGCCCAACACGAGCAAACTCTCTAAACTAAATCAGCGACCCTCTCTGCCCATGCAGGTCCTGCGCATAAAACGTAACCGACGTATCAAGGCCAACGATCGCGAACGCCATCGCATGCACACCCTGAACGATGCCCTGGAGAGGCTTCGCATGGCCCTCCCGACCTTCCCCGAGGATACCAAGCTCACGAAAATCGAGACGCTGCGCTTCGCTCATAACTACATTTGGGCCCTGCAGCAGACGCTTGGGAGCGCTGCTCCATCCGGAGAAATAACCCTGAGCGTGGGCAACGTAACAGTAAGCATCGGCGAGAGTGGCAACATGATAACTTCATCGACGGGAAGCTGCGCCGTCGCCGCCCAGAAACGGCTCGGGCCCGGTGGCCATCCACTTGCAGGGGTCTACTGTCCGGGTATGAATCAGAGCCACCAGCTCGACTGGCCCTCGGAGTACGACTGCTACTCCAGCGAGCAGAGCGTCAGTCCACCTCAGCACCTCCAGGTCCATCTTCCCCAGCAACCGATGCACATGCAACAACAACAACAACAACAACAACAACAACCACCACCACCACTACCACAACAGCCACAGCACCAGCAGCAACAACATCAGCATCATCAACAACAACAGCAGCAGCAGCCTCATCATCATCATCATCATCATCATCATCATCATAATCCTCATCAGCCAATAGCGCAGACAACAAACCACGTGGCATACACGGGCCCGACGGCCTGCTACGACCAGAGGCTCTATCACTTCGACCGCCAGGACGTTTATCAGTGCCTCTAGTGCTTCTAGAGGTGCGTCCCCTGGTGGATGTTCTTGTTACGTAAGTGAGGCCCGGCAGTGTGCACAGGCCTCTCTTGTCCAGGAGCTGGCTATGTGCGCACAGAGTTCTACGAGTGTTATGCGGAGAATTGTTAGTCTGTTTGTGCGAGGGCAGATTTATTGGTTGCTTAGGCCCTTGGCCTTTGGCAATCGACGGTGGAAGCCCATTCGCGCGAATGCCATACGATTCCGCGAAATCATGTACAAATCGCGAACTTTCTTTATTAAGAAAGTGATTATTGATGCACATTGATAATACTTTTCGTAATGATAAACTATATATTTAGATGCGTAGAGAGAGAGAGAGAGAGAGAGAGAGAGAGAGAGAGAGAGTGCGTGTGTGTGAGAGAGGGAGAGAGAGAGAGAATGTTATATTTTGCTACGTCTGTATTTGGGATGTTGCGTGAATGTTATTCTTCAACGACCAAGTAATTATAATTGTGTAATGAAAAAAAATTGAGTGAAAAATATTTCGAGATTAACTATTATTACAAATTTAACTAAGTTTTTAATGCATCGAAGTTTTTAAGTATTCATTGATAAGATGAAACGAAGGGGGCAGCGGTTACGTCACAATTTTTATCAAACAACTTAGTATGCCGGCTAGCATTAGTACGTAATAGAAATGCGCGCGAGTTTTATTTGATGAAAATTTAATCGTAAAAGGTAATTGTTATTCATTAGGAAATAAAGTAATAAGTTTTATAAGAGCAATTTAAATGAAACTTCCTCCAAAAATTATAATTATTGAGAGTAATATTTAAGTATCGGTAATATCATTAACAGAACGGTTATTTGTAAACGTTGCTAGCGCTGTCTGATAATTGCGTCTTGAAATTTTCGAAAGTATCGCAGCGTTATCGTTATCTACTTTGTAAGGCAAATCATCTATTTTTGCGAGATAAACACAAAGAGCTCCAAAGATCATCGAAGGACTTTAACAAGGTCCTACGTTCCTTTCGTTGTCTAGTCATCAATAAGGTACTGAATTGTCAGCGATTCTCGATCTCGATCATAATTGATCATAATCTTAATGATCTCAACAATTTCCTGACTATTGCTCTAAATGTGTAAGTTTAAGGCCAGTAGCAATGTCGCCTTTATCAGTGCTCTTATATACTATTGTATAGCAAAATTCGTGAATCAGGGATAATTTTTGTATAGTATCCATACATTATCAATAAATCATATTTTATCTAAATAAACACGAATAAATTTTTTTACCTTCCCCGGACGATATCCCACCCCTGACAAAACTTCCCATTTCCATATTTCTTCATTTATTTTAACAATTTATTAATATATAAATAACATTTGTAAATATAAATGCAATGTGTGTGTGTGTGTGTGTGTGTGTGTGTACGCGCGTACGCATAATGCTATTCGTAATATAATTTGAATTAATAATTTGCGCGTATCTGATATAAATGAAAATTTTGTTAAACATTTTAAGAAATGTTTTGACAAAAATTTGCCCTCTGCCAAGCCAATAGAATTCGTTGAAAAACAATCTTCCCTAAACTACGAATCCTTACATCATCCATAATGGGGCTTCGTTTTCTTCGTAGAAATTAACGTTTGGCCCACGCAACATTATGAAAAGCTAAACCTCCTAGTTTAATAAATGGCATATTTGTATACGGTGTTTTATGACCGTAACAAAATTCGGGACAGGCGCTAACGCGTGTCACTATTGTGGAAAATGGCCATTGTACCAGATGTATCAGCCGCGCATTCAACTTAATCCGTCGGATTACGCGTAAGTCATGATTTTTAGCGCGCGCCAATAGAGTCCAATAAACGCGTCATCGCCTAAACAAGTCCCGATAAAAGATGACTTTTTATTCTCGTACTTTTACGGTGATTATAATATTGACGTCTAGAAAGTGCATTGTTCATTGTTAGGCGTTTTTCAAAGAACGTAAAGGTAAATTGGAACGAATGATCTGGTCGAAACGATAGTCGATTGATAATCCCTCGCTTCCTAGCTAAGTCATTATTTTCGATAAATCCTCCAGCTCGAGGGCATTATTTCATTACGGTAAGTAAGATGTAATGTACGTACGCCATTATTTCAATGCGTATGTGCGTTATTGCCATACAATTGCAATTATATCATATGTTGTATTATTATTGCTAGAGTCTATAAGCTGTTTTACGCTTAATCAAGTCAGTATATAAATTCTTTTATTTCGTGTGATATTAATAGTGTGCAATTAATGGTGAAAGATCGGGGAAATAATTAATTAGTAGAATTATATTTCATTTCTTTATTGATATTACCCATAACGTTACACTTGGCATTGTAATTTTTTTGAATTTTTAACAGACTTAGATTTAAGGTGACGTTTTGTATATTGTCATAATTCAGATAACAACAGACGTTTGTATATTTGTTTAATAATAAGGTATAAGAGATATTTTTAATAAATTTAAAGAAAATTATCGCTAAGCTTTCTTTCTATTTATCTAATCTTGTATTTTCACTGCTCGAGGCTTGAGAAAAAAAAAAAAAAAAAAAGTGCTTAAAATTGGTGCTTCCAATGGTTGGTTTGACTTTTATCAAGGTACACTTGATCTAAGAATAGTCCAACTGTTGAGAAAATAAATATGGCTGATCGATCAAATGCAGAAATGCGGTTCGGAAAGATCTATCAAAACAAGGGCGCGTCTAACTTTTGCAATGAAAAGAAAATATTTTGTCCCCACTTGCATGAACATAACTCGAGTACTAGACAGCTCGTGTGGATTTTTAAATTATATTGTTCTAGGTGACGCAATAAAAAATAAAAAGCATACAATATATTGTTTTATTTCACAGCACTTGTCGTTTAGTATAACTAATTTTTTTTGTTTTGTTTTGTTTTGTTCTATTTTGTTTTTTAACCAAGAGTTATCTTATATATATACATATATATATATATATATATATTGTAATATTAATATTTGCCGAAGAGGGGAAAATCGTTGAGTTTATTTGTGAAACGATATTGATTCAGTTTTGAGAGAAATCGGTAAAATCAATAGAGCAAAAGCTTTTCTTTGGAAGAATTTGTACGGAATGTGACGAGTGATCGAATAATATTGCACTCTACTTAATCGAAATTCAATATTTTTTATACGCCAGCAATAATTGCTTAAGTGACTACGTTATTGCCCAACGGTCCAGCCGCTAAATGAGACTCTCGTTGAATTTGAAACATTTAACTTTCGACAAATATGCAAGCCGACAATTATTTAAATCGTAATCGTAGTATAATGTAAAATATAAGAAACAAAAAATTTCTTTGTAAATGTTCTTTATTCTTTTAATATATAAACAAAAGTATTGCTAATCTCCAAGCGAACGAGATATTTAAGATCTTAATGCATTTAAAGATGAAGATGGAGCGAATTTATAATACTCTATCATTTTACTTCTGCTACACAAACAACACACTTTAATGTGTGCATTGTCGAACAAATTGTTTAATAGAAATAGTATCGCATTCTCAATAGTAAAGCATCGGCGAATGGTAGAATGTCAAACGTCTGCACGTATCCCGTCGGCAAACCTCCATCTTCTATAGTGCCCACGACTCTCTCTCTCTCTCTCTCTCTCTTTTATTTACGCATATGAGATGCGTAGATCGTCGTAAATGCGCATTAATCTCAATGGGGTGTATAATGAAAAGGTGGCCATTAGTAATTAAACAGCTAATTGAATGAATAGCGAGCAAAGAGTCCATCTTGGCATTAAAGCGCGACGACAATCCACTTGGTCGTTCCATTACAATTGTCTCGACCTCCTCGGCGAATTCGTCACGGCATTCAGCCTCTGATCAATACAGTTTAGTGGATGCAAGGCCTATTTGCAAACAGCGGGCGCAAGCTGCATCGAATCCGTTAACGGGGCGATGGCCCGATCGTTTCCCCGAATCACACCAATAATGGTAATGCTTCAATGGAACTATTATACGGACGATAGATCAGTGTGTACATAGTATCGAGGAGAGCACGACAGACGGGCCAAAGGTGTCGGATTTTCGTCAGGGAGGGGGAGATGAGTCCGTTTTAGTCGCAATTCCGCTTTTTTCGTGTGTCCCTTTCCTTCGACGACAGGCAGTGCTATTAAGGTGTCGGGAGGCTGATAAATGAAAAATTACCAATTCCTTCGCCGACACCGGTGGTGTTGTTTTGAATTTTGGACCGCTGTCGCCCGGGTATAGACGATTATTGACTTGATACCATTTTTTATTCCACTCTTACAATGTCTGAATAAATTCAAAGGAATGGCTTTGTCGTTGTTTTTGTTGCTGTTGCCGTTGTTGTTGTTGTTGTTGTTGTTGTTGTTGTTGTTGTTGTTGTTGTTGTTGTTGTTCCTGCTGCTGATGCTGCTACTGCTGCTGTTATTTACCCACCTCTTTTTATCATTCACTACGAATTGAATTGTGAAGGGATGGGGAAGGGGGATGGCGGAGGGGGCGGGGAGGGTTGTTTTTTCAATGTAGTGGGTGAACATAAAAATATACTTTGTTATGAGCAATTTTTAATAATTAAAGCTGTTAAATTAGTAGAATGTAAAAATTAAATATTTTTAATAGTAAACTGATTGTTCAAGAAGGAAGGTATATTTTATTTAGACTATGCATTGGAAGAGTCAACACTTGTTGGCACCATTTTCCAAATCATTTGGTAATAAATGTTCGTTACTACGTCTCGTCCATGAGAAAAACATTGAAATCGCCGGCTCTTGGAATACGGCGGCTCTATAAAGTGCAAAACAAGGCTTAAAGGTTGAAAGCAGAACGTCGAATTACGGCCAAAGATTTTCAACGGCCAACGCTACTTTAAAGTTGGCAAATTTTGGAAAATGCGAGAAACGAAAGTGTACGAGGAGCTCGGGGATTGACTATAGAAACACATCAAACACTTGGTTAAACGATGTTCCAGCGTGATAATACAATCGCGCTAACTGTAGTAGTCCTTATCACATCCATTACTACGAGCCATTATTAATTGACAA